CCTCCCCCAAATTTGGGTTTAAAGGTGGGGAGGGGCGGGGGGAAACCCTGAGGAGGCGGAGAGGGATGTCCAGGAAAACCCTGGCGTGGTGTAAAAAAAACAACAAAAAAAAGAAAAGCGGGCAAAAACACCCGAGGAATTTCACCTCGCTCGAAATAGCCCTGAATGTCTTCCTATTAATTAAAACCCGAGACAAAAATAACCGTTTCCAGCAGCAAATTTGGCTTTTTTTTTTTCTCTTTTTTTTTTTTTTTTTTTTTTTGCAGGGTGGGTGGGCAGGTCAGTCTGACCCACTCCCCTCCTCCAGACATGCAGGAAAGGGATTTTAGGGAATATTTGTTACACGGGGAACTTCCTAGAATCTATTCTGTTGGTTTTTGTTTTGTTTTTTTTTTTTTTTTTTTTCTTTAAATTCTCTTTTTCCCCCCATCTGTGGCAGGGATGCTCCACATCGGGGTCCCCGCATGAACCCATCCCGCGGCTCTCACTGTTTGCTTTGGAGCCCGATTTATTTGGCCTCTGTTATTTATAACCCAGCAGAGATTTTTTTTTTTATATATATTTTTTTTTTTTATTCCCCCCCCCTTCTTTCTCCTCCCCGAAGGTGAATTATAAAGCTGCAAAACACTGCCGCCAAAATTATTAAGAGAAAAAAAAAGGGAAAAAAAATGCCTTTTCCCCGCTATATAATTATTTCCAGCCTGGGACAGAGTTAAAATTATATTAAAGGGGAAAAAACAGAAGAAGAGGCTATTAAAGAGCTAAATAACAGGCTGAAATGTTTTGCTTTGGGGCTATTTTGAAGGACAGAAGAGTATTTATTTACAGGACTGAATTTCTGGGTAAATCCGCGGCGAGGGGCAGAATCGGGGGGGGAATGGAGGGTTTTGGGGATGGGAGGAATGAGAAAGGAGAGGGCTGCTAAGCAGGGCTTGGGGGGCTGGAGTTAAGGGGGTTGGGGGTGGTCCCAGCCCTACATCTCACGGGGGTCCTGGTGGTGCATCCATGAGTGGTCCTGGTGCCATCTCCACCCTACAGTCCTGGTACCCCACCCAAGGGTGGTCCTGGTCCCATATCTGCTGGGGGTTCTGGCTCTGCACCCATGGGTGGTCCTGACCCAGTATCTGCTTGGGGTTCCAACTTTGCACCCATGGGTGGTTCTGACCCCATATCTGCTGGAGGTTCCAGCTGTGTACCCATGGGTGGTCCTGACCCTGTATCTGCTGGGGGTTCTGGCTCTGTACCCATGGGTGGTCCTGGTCCCATATCTGCTGGGGGTTCTGGCTCTGTACCCATGGGTTGTCCTGACCCAATATCTGCTTGGGGTTCCAGCTCTGTACCCATGGGTGGTTCTGACCCCATATCTGCTTGGGGTTCCAGCTCTGTACCCATGGGTGGTTCTGACCCCATATCTGCTGGGGGTTCTGGCTCTGCACCCATGGGTGGTCCTGGTCCTACATCTGCTGGAGGTCCTGGCTCTTCACCCACTGGTGGTTCTAGCCCAACATCTATTCATGGCTCTGTCCCCGTGTCTGGGTGGCCTGTTCCCATCCCTGGGTGGCTCCAGCCCACATCCCTGGTGGCCCCATCCCTGGCTGGCTCCAGCCCACACCCTCGGTGGCTCCATTGCCATCCCTACCTCAATGTCGGGGATGTTCTCCACCAGCTGACGGGCGATGTCCCTGCAGCCACCCTCCAGGGCGTCCGGGGGCATCTCTCCATCCGAGTACCAGTCGCGGTTGGCGGAGTGGGCGTAGGCAGCGCTGGGCGTCGCGTGGGTCACCCGCGTGGTGGTGACAATGCCCACCGCCTTGCCTGCACCACCGATCCGGGGGTCAAGGATGACAACACCCCCCAGATCCCACCGCTCAACCCTCCACCCCCAGCATCCACTGGCCCCTCACCTGCATCCTTGGCCCAGCGGAGGATGGAGGTCACCTCCTGGCCCTTGGTGGTGTTGCAGCGGTCACGGGTGACGCCGGCGCTGACGCCCACCGTCCCCTCGTTGGCTTTGACGCCGCAGAGGTAGGCAGTGGCCGTGCCCGCGCTGTCGGGCACCTGCGCGTTGGTGTTGTAGGTCTGGGGAGGGGGAGAGGAGATAAATAAAATACCATCATCATCATCACCACTACCATCATCATCACCACTACCATCATCATCACCACTACCATCATCATCACCAACCGCCACCACCACCAGCTGCCACCATCGTTGTCACCATCATCACCAACCATCACCACCACGGTCACTGTCATCTCCACCCTGGGGCTTCATCATCATTGTTCCCTTCCTGGGGCTTCATCATCATCATCACCCTCATTCTGGGTTGTCATCATTCTGCTCCTCACCCTGGGTCGTCACCATCATCATCATCCCCACCCTGGGGCTTCATCATCCTCCTCCTCCTGCTCACCCTGGGGCTTCATCATCATCATCCTCCTCACCCTGGGGCTTCATCATCATCATCCCCACCCTGGGGCTTCATCATCATCATCCTCCTGCTCACCCTGGGGCTTCATCATCCTCCTCCTCCTCCTCTCACCCTGGGACTTCATCCTTCTCCTCCTCCTCCTCACCCTGGGGCTTCATCCTCCTCCTCCTCCTCACCCTGGGGCTTCATCCTCCTCCTCCTCCTCTCACCCTGGGGCTTCATCATCCTCCTCTTCCTCCTCACCCTGGGGCTTCATCCTCCTCCTCCTCCTC